AGCATCCACTCAAAATTTGAAAATAATTCCGAAAAAGTGGGGGATGGGCACTTGTTAGGTTATCAGTTTTACATATATTTGTACTGCGCATATTTTTCAGATGTTACAAAATTTGAGAGTGGGTGCTTATGTGAAATGGGAAGATGCCCAATATTTTACGGTAGTTGTCCTACATCCCCTCTCCCCCATTCTGCTGGATCTCCCCGATTCTATCTCTTTACTAGGCACATCTGTTGCCATTTACACTGATTTCACGACCTCACTCTACGTCCTAGCTAATCATGCTCACTTCTCTAGAGCTCATGCTCCATGTGCACAATGCCAGAGAAATAGGGCATGCTAATTTTGCTTGCTTGGTGGAGAAAAGGAATAATAATGAGTGTACAACAATTTAGTACATACGATGCCAGAACCATGCTTGGGCTGAAAAGGCACATGAATGAATAGCTATTGAAGCTAACTTACCAAACGCTTAGGCTTTCCTTTCTCCAAGACATCGGGAACTGAGTCCTCCACTGCGCTCAGTTTCCTGGACTCCTTGCCATACTTGCGCCTATGGTCCTCGACAGCTACATTGCCAATCACTTTCCGCCGTTCATTTTTATATTTGTTACGTAGTGCAACGTTCCATGATTCCTGTTAAGTAATAAAAAGTAAATCTTGATATTGTGCATAAAGCCAAGACTGAGATCTGTGTTCAAACTCTCCTCCATCCATCTGCTAAATCTGCCAAATGTAGTGGGGAAGGTAAAAGGTAACTCATGAAACACCTTTTCGTTATAGATGCCGAACCCAGTCCATTAATGCACTTGGCATCAACATTGGGGGTGGGGACATTCTGTCTGCAAGATGGCTGTTATTCAGAACCTCTATTGGTCAACTAACACTTCCACTGCAAAGCACATATTTTTATCTACCACTTACATATCCGCTCCCGGTCGCATCGGTGAGGTTTGGGTATCGGTCCAGAAGTAAGTTCACAGCCTTAAAATAGAACCGCTTTTCTTGATAGCTGGAAAGAAAAATATAATATTAGCTTTAAGTTTGAACAGAACATAACTATTTTATTTATGAGTACTATGCAGGGAAAGCATTACTAAAATTTTCGGGGTGCTGATCACTTTAAACACCTGAAAAAAGGAACTTGGGTGCACTGTGCATCCAACTTCACTTGTACCAATCTAAGTGCAGGATATTTATGCTAGCCCGGTTGCATGTCTATTCGCCTGCCCTCCTTGGTTTAATAAACTCATCAAAACATATCCCCAGAAGTAGAAATGCTGGCTGGTACACTATTGAGTATGTGGTGCAGCTACCTAAAGAATTTGAGTCCCAGGAGCTTGCAGGCCTACAGCAGCATGGCAAACGGGACACATGTCCATGCTGGTGTTCTTTCTGTAGCAGACGTCGCTTCTGTCATTGCTTGAGATTTCTTCTACCCGCCAGCGTTTGTCACGCAGTCAGTACTTTAGCACCATTGTACATATTGCCAGCTGAAATAACCGCGTTAAAGCAGAGAGATCACTTAAGAGATGTCACAGTCCTCACTGTTGCCTGCTAGAGCCACTGAACTAAGAGTCGACACAACTCAAAACATGGGGCTCCCGTCACGATGAAGGAGAGCGAGGAGGCAGATAAAGCAGCACAAAATAAACAGAAACAATGTGCTTCTGCGCATGCGCAGTGGCAATGTTGCCAGCATTTGGCGGTCTGCTTTTCTCACGGAAAGTAAACAAACCGGGATGTCTGAGCGTACTAAGTCGTCCGATGTGCATCAGGAATAGGAGAATGGTGGTGTTGACCGCTCCTTACTGGTGGCAGTCGCATGCTACGATAGTTCAAGGGAAGCAGCGAAACTGGCAGAGACCATCAAAAAATAAAAGCGGCGGACGTAAGAGCCAGCGGCCAGATACGGAAATTGGCGATTTTTAGTGCACTTCGATTATTATAATCTTGCTCCTGTCCTTTAATCTGCGAAATATTTTTTTATAGCGACATAACTATCTGAAACCTTTATTTTCTAGCTATGCTAGGCGTTATTCTGCTCATATGCCTGCATGCATACGTGCTCGACCACGATCTTCACTGGTCAGAGTTAGGTTAGAGTCACTTGACAAGCAGCTACAAATCTCAAGGGTACCGTATTTACTCGCGTAATGAACCCACCCCCCACTTTTGTCCTTGAGGAAATGCTTTCCTTTTTGTGTGTGTGTGTGGAGGAGCACCCCATTCCAAAGTTGGTGTGTATTATATGTTCATTTATTTTGGTGCGATCGCCGGTGCCGTAGACGATCGCAATAACGTAACGTCACACCGTTATATATCAAGCACCGATGCCAAAAAGCCTAAGAACCATGCTAAACATGGTTCTTAGACGCGAGCACGAACGACGCAAGTTACAGTTTAAAAATCGTGCCTTTTTGTGGCGCAGCGCCATCTGTCGAGTGCAACGGAAAGCTCCTTGCTTATAACGCCATGCAAGCGTGGCGGCGCCGCCATTTCGTCGCTGCTTCTGTTTTCGTGTGGATTGTGTTTTGCGGAGAACTTGGACACCTGCTTCGAAAGCTACGAGAGGCCGGTACGCTAGCTATACGGCCGGTTTTAAGCTCAAAGTCGTTGAGCATGCGTTCGAGCATGGGAACTGCGCGGCTGGACGGCATTTCAGCGTCAATCCGGTGCGTGTACGCTACTGGCGGAAACGAGAGGAAGAGCTTCACGCTACAAAAAAAGATTGTCGCGCATTTCGAGGGCCAAAACAAGGCAACTTTCCCCTCGTGAAGAATGAAGTTCTGGATTATGTGAAGAGGCTCCGCAGCGAAGGCTGTGGAGTGTCCCACGAGCTGAATCAAAACCACGCGGGGGCCACAGCCAGAAATCACGGCACATTTCTGCTTGTGATTTTAAAGCCGGCAGCGGTTGGACGAGATTCATGCTCTGAAATGGGCTGTGCCTTAGAAGGCGCACATTATTTAATTTTAATATATTTAATAGCATGTTTCCTATCTACATCGTGATATGAGATTTCAATTCTTATAAATCTGTTGCAACTTTTTTTTCCCCCAAGTAATGAACCCTCCCCCCAAATTGATGTTAACTTTTCTGAAAAAAAGGTGGGTTCATTACACAAGTAAATACAGTATTTATAGCAAGCTTGAGGCAGAATACGAAGTGTGAGAGGATACCTTTTCCAGAAAAAAATTTAACGAAAGGATGCGACACTCGATTTGAGAAGGCACAGCACCACCAAAGTACGAACCAACGAACGCAGTTCTGAAACTATCGCATCCACGACCTTTCAATGCCACGTATTCCGAGCCGAGCATAATGTCAGAACTGCCACAAACAGTCACACATGGGGACTCTGCATAAAGAAATACATTAAACGTAACACACAGGAATGTCCACTGCTGTCCCGGCAACCGCCTTGCTGCTCACTTGGAGGTTACGTGACGAGCGGCAAACGTGACGGCTGCCCCACAGTCAGTGTTGCCAGACAAGTCAAAATGGCGAAATTGTGTGATTTTTGCTTTTGAAAAATACTTTGCAAATCAAAACAAAAATGGTGGGCCATGAAAGATGCTATTTTATTAATTCTGTCAAATATTCAAGCGCCTCCAAGTCTTCTTAAAACGCGAAACATGGAAAAAAAGTTATGCAGACCCATAGACTCCCAGCAAAAATCCGTCACGACATGGCGTCCATAAACCACGTGACCTCAGGACAGCGCGATTTAGTAGTTGTGTTGACTCTTAGTTCAGTGGCTCTATCACCTGCCAATAGCTAACCCCCTGACAGTGCACTAAGAAGCTGATGACTGCATGTTTAACATTGGTTTTGGTGAGGAGTGTTGCTTTGGCATAAAACTTTAGCTGCGGTCGTATCTTGTCGCGCTGCACTGATATTAGTCATTTGTTTTGTTTTGAACAGTCGATCCAGGCCAATATATGAGAGCCAAAGTTGAGGGTACCGAGTTTGTACAAAAAAAAGAACTTTGTGAAACCTTGTCATGCTGTGGAGACTGAAGACAGTGGAGACTGAAAAGTTGTTTGTGGGCACAGAAAATAAAGAATTATTATTATTATTAGAGAAATCCAAGAAGATGCAGTCAACCTGAGATCAAGGGGTCTTAGGTCAAGGGAGGCATGAAGACTATGAGTGTTCATAGTTGAGATTCGCTCACAAGCAATTTTCTGAAGCCATGTTCATACCTGCCAACTCTTCCGAATTTTTCGTAAAATGTACGAATTGGGACCAATTTTACGATTCTTGCTTCATATTTTACGAAAAACAAAATTTTTTTTTTTTGTATGTAAGGTTGTTGTTCGTGCCACAAGAGGGCGATAGGTATCGTCCGCGGCAGAGTCCACGGCAGAGTCGTGGATTTTACTATGTCTATCCGGTGGCCATGGATCCAAAACCAATCCAAAGCCCAAAGGCTGTTCATGTGTTCGGCGGCGCACGTTGGTTTCTTGGTTGGTTTGGCGTGTTAGGCCTCGCCAGCCTCGCTGTTTCGGCCAGTTTTCGTGGCGTGAAGAGCGGTGTCTGTGCTCTAGTGGCGGTGGCTTCGCGGCGCAATGGCCGCCTCCAAACCTCAGAAGAGGTACTTTCAGGTCTTCCTGAAATCCTACTCGCAGGAATTTCCGTGTTTTGTGCCGTCAAAGAAGGGAGACAAGTTTGGATTTTGTCGAACGTGCACGTGCGATGTGAACGTTTCGCACGGTGGCAAGGCGGACATTAAGCTTCACATCGCTTCGCGTAAACACCAGGGGTATGTGCGGGCCGCGGATAACCAGTCGAATCTGGTAAGTTTTTTTCTAAGTGACAACGACCATGGTGCAATTCGTGCAGAATGCCTCTTTACGGCATTTCTCGTTGAACATAACATTCCTCTGAGTGTGAGTGTCCACGCCGGACCCCTGTTCCGAAAAATGTTCCCCAAGGCCGATGAGGCAAAGCGCTATGCCTGTGGGCGGACGAAGACGACGGCAATTGTTGGGGAGATGGCCGCCAACGCTGAGGTGCCTATGCTGGACGCCTTAAAACGACGGGCTTTTTCAATCGCCGTGGATGGGACCAGCAACAGGGATTCACAACTGTATCCCATTGTTGCGACCTATTACGTTGAAGAGACGCGTAAGGTAGAAAGCCGCCTTCTGTGCCTTGAAACAATCGAAGGAGAAGCATCCGGTCGTAAGATTGGAAATTTGATCCTGGACGTGCTGAAGTCCCGGGATTTACCGATAGCAAATTGCTTGGCTATGTCTGCTGACAATGCAAATGTCATGATCGACAAGAAAATCGGTGTCGCCGCAGTCTTGAAAGAGGCTCAGCCAAATTTGATTGTAGTTGGTTGTCCGTGCCATCTGATCAACTTAGCCGCCCGGAAAGGTGCTGCATGTTTTCCTGTGAAAGTTGATGAGATTTTGGTAGACGTTTTCTTCTACCTAGAGAAGAGTGTGAAACGTAAGGATCGACTGAAAGATTTTCAAAGGATACATGACATCGAAGTCAGAAAGGTCTTGAAGCATGTGCCAACACGCTGGCTGTCTTTGGGAAAGTGCCTGAAGAGGCTGCTTGACCAGTGGGAACCACTTCTAAGCTTTTTCTTGAGCGAAACAAAGAAATGCGAGAACCGAAGCTCGTTGTTTTGGAGTCCTACAAGATCCCATCAACTGCACAGACTCCCAAGACCCCTGCACAGGCTCTCAAGACCCCCCATGCACAGGCTCCCAAGACCCCCCCTGCACAGGCTCCCAAGACCCCTGCATAGGCTCCCAAGACCCCAGCACAGGCTCTCAAGACCCCAGCACAGGCTCTCAAGACCCCAGCACAGGCTCCCAAGACCCCAGCACAGGCTCCCAAGACCCCTGCACAGGCTCCCAAGACCCCTGCACAGGCTCCCAAGACTGCTGCACAGCTTCCCAAGACTAGGGTACAAATATCCAGGACAGCTGCACAGATCCCCAAGGTTGCAGGTCATGAAGGAAAGGAAAGTGCTGATGGTGCTGGAGATGGACCCTCACTAAAGAGAAAAGGAGTCAATCCTATGCCTGATGCTAAAAAGCTCAGGCAGCCGCCTCAAGAATCAGGAGAGGCCAGCATCATGTCCCGTGAGAAGCGCCTGGTTTATTTCCTATCATCGGAACTGAACAGGGCATACTGTCTTTTTCTGGTAAATGTGATACCACTTTTTGACAAGACAAACTGCCTGCTTCAGGCACAGGCTCCTCAGATCCACATACTCAGGGGCCTCTTGAACCAGCTTCTAGAGGATCTCTTGACGAGATTCGTCCGCCCAGATGTTCTGAAGGGATGGCACTCATTGCTGACATTGGCTTTTGGAGCTGTGGAGAACCAAAGAGAAGATAAGGACCTTGTCATTGGTAGCATGACATATTCCGTTGTTGAAAGGCTCAAGCCAAATGAGAGAGAGCAGTTCTTTTCTGCTGTTCGTTTGTACTTCGCAACGGTATGCGATTACATCCGCAACAAGTTTCCCTTGGAAAACGTAGACTTCAGGATGGCTGAAGTTGCCCAACTGCAGTCGTTGGACACCTCATCGTTCAGCAGCATACGCCATTTTGTTACGGCATTCCCTGCACTGCTGCCTCAGCAGAGCAATGAGTCAAAGGATGAGGCAATGGATGCACTCGAAGTTGAGTTCGCCAACCTGCAAGCATATAATAACCTTTCGTTGGCTATATTAAACGAACCAAGGAGTGACGTACAGTGGGCACAGGTAGGGGACATTCGAAGTGTCGACGGAACGCTGAAGTTCCACAGGATTGCAGTGTTCATGCTGGGGATCTTGACGATTCCCCATAGCAATGCTGAATGTGAAAGACTGTTCAGCACTGTAAACAAGACGCGGACGGAGTTCCGCTCCTCAGTTTCCGACAGGACCCTCGGAAACCTGCTCATGGTGAAGGGGCATCAAAATGGGGCGTGCTTCGAACAAGTGTACTCGGAGAACTTTCTGAAGCAGGCGAAATCAGCAACAGCAAAATCGCTGAAAAAATGAACCAACAGGCGAAATCGACAACAGAAAAATCGCTGACAAAATAAATCATCATTCATCCCTAAAGATACCTGCCTCTTGCTTACCCCCCCCCCCCCCCCCCCCCCGCGGCCGCGGCCGCGGCCGCGGGAGTTTTACGAATTTGAAAGTCCACAGGTTGGCAGGTATGATTTTATTAAGTATATATAGCAGTGAAAAATGCATGGGAATAAGAAAATTAGTGAGATGGGAGTATATTATGTGTTCCAAAATTTTGCGAGGGATAGTTGTTAGGAAAATTAGGGAGAGATTGCTTGGGATGGATCTATCATCATGTTTGTAGCCAGAAATCACCTTCCTTATGTTACATTCCTAAAATAAAAAAAAATAGAGTATGAATGATTCTTGAAAAGTTTAGTAATTGTCTTTAGATGCTTCAGGGTTCATATTGTGAATGCCACATGAAGAAAATAGTTTGAGACTGCTACTACATGACCATAAGCACTGCTGCTACATCACCATCAGCATTCTTTGGCAGTATGCCACATATCCCTGAAGGGCTTACAATGTTTGAAAATTGCAGGGGACTGTTGCAGAACATAGGGGGTACAGTACATTCTAAAAAAAACAGACCTTAGCTTCTGTAATGGACGTTTTATACCGGGTGATATTTTTTAATCGAAACCAATTTTTTTTTTTAAATGGGGCTCACTGCTACGTAGATGCTGTAACACTAAACTGTGCAGAGTGTGGGGCAAGCTGGTACTGGGCAGCGCTCTGTATCGTCCAGCCTACTTCTTTTATCCTCATCTCAAGTGCCACCATGTTTTTTAATGTTAAACATGCCAGCGGGCTGGATCGTCGTAGCTTTGTAGTGACAGCAGAGCAGCTCTGAAGTTTCAAAAACATGCCATTGAGTGTAAAATAACTAACTTTTTTTTATGGATGAAAACTTATTTATCAAGATATATCAACCTAAGTTAACAATAAAAGCTGGCACAACTGCTTGACGACACTTTAAGGGGCGAGATGCTTGCATTTTTGGTTCTAGTGGACTAAAGCTATTCTAAAATAGTTTCTGCAACAATCCTCAGTAACTTACCGTACATAACATACACTAAAATAGAGTATGCTATTGTAGAACTTGCTAATATGGCATTCAACGGTGCCCTTCATTGATAAACACAGATAACATCACAAAATAATCCTTTTTTTTTTCTTATTTGGAAGCCTTCCGAGCAACTGGCCGAACCATCGAACCTTTGCCTGCCTTTTTTGGGGGGTTTGGTTGCACTGCTACTCAGGGCTATATAGCTACTATAGTAGGGAACAATACGCATACATTCTTATGACATGAGAGAACTGTAAGCTGGAACTTACATGCTGAATTTCATCATTTCTTGTTGTATGATGCTTATAACTTTGTTTGCTGTGATGGCTGTGATGGGCTCGTCTTTCAGAAGAACTCCATGCAGAGCCCCGAAGTTGGGCAGTGTGAATGCATGACCAGCATTGTCTTCCACGACAGGACTGCATATTTTGTGAGGAAAAGGAAAGATTACATTACCGATTCCAAGCGGTGTGACTGAAATACATAAAAAATATGAAAGTTTGAGACTATGTACTTACACCTCAACACTTGAGATGATCATGTCATCATCCTGTGCAGAAGGTGGTGCTTCACTTTCTGGTTGCACCTCCTATAAAGTATACAAAGACACATTACATCATACTAAAGCATGCACGCACAAGCATTAAAATAAATACCGCACAATTAAAGTATGTCAACCCAAGAGTAATGATGTGACACACTTTTCTTGCCAGCACTGGTTGTCTATTGCTACTTTTCACAAGTAAAAGGCTGACTGTAGAACAAAATACCCGTAGTAATCAGTGCCCAAAAACTGTTAAAAGAACAACAAGCCCTTGTCTTAGCATTTATCAGACATGTTGATAACACCAGAAATGGAAACTAAAATTTAATGACACCAAAACACAGCCTGCTGTTCTTTTTGTCATTTCCATAGTGAAACCAAGGTGCCTAACTCTGTCGTTAACACCTATTTACCATTATTCAGATGTGAACACTCAGAAGGCAGCCACTCCCTAAAGTCTTACCATGTAATGACTTGGTGTAGCCAGTTCTTGTATTTTATAGCAGGTTGTTGAAGGGGATGGTACTCCACTTGAAAGCTCAAACCCATTAAAGGGGCACTAAAGTGGTTTTTGAGATTGTCTATTCATAGAGATAACTCTTTCTACATGACCTAAGCATCCTAAAAATAAAAAAAAATCACAACCATGCATGACCTATTTCCTTATTAAAAATGTATTGAACGGTTTGCGACACATTCCTTTTCTGCGAAATTTAGCAGGACACCAGGGGCGCTGCCAGCGCATTCAAACGACGAAGGCACTCGTCCGCCAGTCGCAAGTGATGGCACCCGTGGCGGACCGATACAAGCCGAAAGTCCACGCGCGTGCAAACTGAATCGTGCACACACTGCTTCTTTTTTTTATTTTTAAGCTGCATGATCTCTCATTGTTGGAGCAAGAAATACCACAAAACATAACTGAACTGAACTGCGTTACAGAGATGATAAGAAATGGCAAACGGGGCCCACGAACGCAAGAAGGAAAACAACTTCTGTGAGTGTCGTATGTGGGCGCTCTGGGAAGCAAATGGGCGGACACCTCACTCCCGCAGGAGAAGGTGAGGGAAAACATAGTTCATGGATATTTCCTATAACCACGAGCTTAATAAGGGATTTTGTCGTCCAAGACGTCGAATATTAACTGGCATGTGCTACATTATATAACAAAAACAAGAGTCTTCAAAAACCTTTTTAGTGCGCCTTTAGGCAATATAAACTTCTGGATTTTCTAGAAAAAAAGTGCCCTTTGAGTGTTCACTTCATCTTCCAGAAACATTTTTTCGACCACAATCGTTGAGACTGGGGGCTGACGTTTTCGTCTGATACATTCATCAAAATTGTTTGTTTTGCTCTGTAGTGGGCAGACCTTAAAGGGCCCCTCTAACAATATTTGTGCTGCCGCTTTTTTTGTGCTGGTCGCCGCCCTAGGGCTTCGGGAGGTTCCGGGAACAAAGGCAAAACCGCAAAAGATTAGTGCATCAAATTTAATTTGACAAGGTGCGAAACTGCCAGATGTACGGTGGCGCTGCATGGTGCTAAACGTGCGTGGCGGATGACATTCTATAACCTGACGTCCTGATTGCCCAGGTCCACCAGCAGTTTCTATCTCAGCACAGAATAACAAGTCCGACTGTTCTTACCTCATCTTTATGGAGTCCTGAGAGTTAGAGAAGAACTAAATTAGATTTATTAAAGCACGAAACCAACAAAAAAAAAAGCCTTTGCGAGCTTTGCGACGTAAGTACAAGAAAATGTTTCATACAGCAACAATCACTGGGGCTGCTGAAGCTCCTTGCAGAAGAACTCTTATAGATGACATTTGGGTGATGTCATCGCTATCTGACAAATCCAGGTACTCGTTAAACTCCTTGTCCAGCATCTGCAGAAAAAAAAACAAAAAAAACATGCACATACGCTTTTAGAGGCACATGTCTCTAAACGAGCAACTGCGCACGCGCGACACCAGCCTTGACTGCAGAACCCCGCGCCTCGTTTCCGGTCGCGCTAGCCTAGCGGGACAGCCGAGTCCGGTCTAAGAAAACTCTCTAATCTGAAACGCTCGCGGAGGCCCCTGTTAACGTAACGGGGGTATGACCACCAGTGTGACGATACGCAAGGCACGTCATTTTCTTCGTCCAAATAAATCCAGTCGCACCGTACAAGAATCGTACAGTAGAAGCTGTGATGCGCCTCCGAGAGTGTTCGAAATTGTGAACGTTGTTGAAGGTTGGCTGCCACGTGCAAGGGGGCCCTCTTTGAATACCACGTTACGTCAATGCAAAGCATGGCACTGTGAGAAGAGAACGTCGGCTCATAGGTTTTTTAGCTCTAGCATTCAGTCACAACAGCAAGTGTGGCACTCTGGACAAAGACCACTCACCTGAAACCGATCGACGGCAACATTAACATGGCAGCTTAGTATGGAGCAAGCCTGCACAGCATCTTTCAGGCCACGAAGCGTTGGCGTCTCTAGTTGGCATTTCCTCTTTACGTCCACGTGCGGAACCCACACTAGGCACGTTGTCAAAGCCATCCCTGAAGCGTCGCGATGGCGGCACGGCGGTACAACGGAATATGCAGCAGCCGCGGCACCATAGAGATCAGTGCGCGGCACTGACAGGCCTGGATTGGATTGGATCGACCATAGACTTTGTACTAGTCAATGTCGTCTGCTTGGCCCGCTTGGTTAGGTGGGTAAGTGCGCAAGCGTGGTAATATGGAGTAAAACAAATAGAAATATCATTGTAAAAATTAAAAAAAAAATTAAAATACACTGATGTTTCGAGCGAATGTTCTTCTTTTCGTAAGGGCGACCGCCATAAACGCACTAGTTTCTCGTATTTACTCAATGCGCTACGATTCCACTTCGGTATGCTCATGAAAATAGACCGACCTAGTGTGCCTTCATGTGCGCTTTGCTTAGGGTGGAGATATCTGGCCATTTTGTCTCACGCTTTTATTTTTATTTTTTGTTCAGAAGCGCGTGCAAGAGCGTGTCCCTGCACGCGTTTGTGGCGCTGACTGTGCTATGGCGACATTTTGTTTTCGTCGATTTCTTTGTATTTTACCCGTGAGCGCGTGCTGTCGGCATCGGGTACTACAAGGGGTGGCATCACCCTATACGGAAGGACATTGAGGCACCCTAGACCGACCCAGTAGCAACGTCATCTTTTTAAAAGGTGCTCCACACAGTTACGTTCGGCTGTCTTCCATTGCGCTGGGGAGGGATGCGAGTATTGTAAGAGAATCACAACAGAACTTGTAACTTCTGTCCTTTTTTTTTTCTTTTCTTATGTTCCGGGTTTACCAGAGCCGAATGCAACTGTTTGAAACGCCCTTATTGCAACAACACATGACCGGTCCTTCGCCGTTCTCCTAATTTTCCAATAATTTTTTCCTCTCCTCGTGAAGACCATTAAATCGTCAG